ATTGGAAGAGTATGCGGGATACTCGTGAAAGAATCACCTATGTGAGAGAGAAGAGGGCCACTTCAAAGGAGAACTGTAAAGGCTCAGTTCTTTAGAAACTCTTGCAGAACCAGGACGGTGACCCATGGCCAAAACGGGCACACTTATGAGAACGGAACAAAGTTGGAAGTTTCTTGTGTAAAGATAAGTCAATGTTTACACGACGGCAGTATAGTTCAAGGACATCGAGTCTACTAGACAGTCTATAAATAAACGTGTCTTTACAGCGGAAGGTTCAAAGGATAAAACCTACCTCTCTGTATGCAAGGATCATCCGGTGAACACAACGTGTCCTCCTATCTTCGTGTCTTTTTAAGTCTCGAAAATCAATTTTCATCCATGTGGGGGATTGGTTGAAACATGTGTTAAAAATTGCATTAAATGGTCATTTTGGGGAAATTATTTGAGTGGGGTCCACTTCCGATTTGGTTCAGGTCAAAGTGGTTTCGGATTGTCCTTGTTAAGGGATACAATTCAATATGTGGTACACTCAAAACGGATAACGGGTGAATGAGAAATTGATTCTCGAAGTTCACTCGTTGAAATGGAAAAATTGGGAAAAGATGGGTTTCTAGTGCGTTTTATACCACACCGGAAAACTCAAGGGATTTTCACCCCCTTATAAAGGGAAGCCTCTTTTAAGGAGTTAAGATTCCTTAAGGTAGAGGCTCTCTCGCGCGGGGGGGGGGGGGGGGGTGCCGATCAAATCCCGAAACGGAGAAGAAAAAACGCGACTTGTGTGTGCGGGCGACCTGCGGACACGAATGTCGTCCGCTTCTGTTCGCGACAGAAGGGCATGAGGTATTCTGTCCGTGCCAGAAGACCAGAGAGGTTCTCTGTTGGCTTCCGGAAAGAAGACCTCAGAGGTTCTCTGTTGGCTTCCGGACAGAAGGCCTTGAGGTCCTCTGGTGGCTTCCGGACAGAACACCTCGAGGTGTTCTGTTGGGGTCTTCTGGTCCCGTTACAACAATAAATGCCCAACGTTCTTGTCTTTTAATGATGCGTTAAATGGACAGTTTATGGACGATTCAATGCCCAACGGACTGGTCATTGATATCCAACGTTCAAGTCCATTAACACCCCATTTAACACACAACAAATCCTCCTATAAATAGCTGGCAGGTGGTTTACAACAAACACACGTTCTTACACGTTCAATAGCATTCTGCACGTAGTTTTAGCTCTAAAAATACTTCCAGCTACTCCGAAATTTCCTGAGTGTTCTCCTTTGTTCCCGTTTGCCGGAACTCTCGTTTGTGTGCTCAAACATTAGTTCGTTAGCCACCGTATCATGGGAAACGGTCGCTGCAACGCTCCTAGCACCGTGGGAGGCGACGAATACGTTTTAAGGATATCGTGCGTAGCACGAGCTCTGGCTAAACTCTGTTCCATCTTATTTCTGTTTTTCTTTAGCTATTTAAATTCATTAATTATTTTTATTAATTAATAGTTCTTCGTTTTTCCGAGACACACCCAACACTTTCTTCCGCTTTCCTTCTGCGAGTGACTTGTGTATCTCTTTGCTATGGTAAGACTCACCATCCTTGTGAATGAGTGTGGCCTATTTATTCTACCTTCCCTGCCGATGGATTGGTGTGTCGGCCGAACCCTAGCTTCTCCCCTTTTTCGCACCTATAGCCTCTCTGTGGATACAAAGCTGAGACCTGAGCTGGATTCAAGGCTTTACAAGGAAGGCATGAATGATTAACCAACACACATGCCTAAAGAAACACAATAACACTCACCTATGACAAAGGAAATATTGCAAATGACATCGGTGAAACCAATACGACTCACACATAAGACACCATAAATAGAATTGTGCACTTCCATGAATTACAAAATGTGGTGTTGTTTTTGTAAATAAATTGATTTTTTTGTCATTGTGAAATATACATTATGTTAACTAGAAATGTGCATTTTGATGAATGAGAAAGGTGCCCTATATCTATCATCCGGCTTGGAGAAGATGAATTTTTCAGTGAAAAATGAGAGTTATCCAAAATGTGGCACATTATGTTTCATGGCGATGCACAATTTTAGTTAAGATAATGCATAGTTTCTAATGATAGTAAGCATTCAATTTATTATAAAGGTGACATCATATTTCATTATGTATTACAATACATATTGTTGTTCCAAATAGTGCATTTTTCTTAAATATAAATGCATCAGATGCAAAACACTTTTGGATGAATCAGCTGAAATTGGTGAAATTTTGAAATAGTTGAATTTGCCTGAGTTGTGAATAATTACATTTAAATCAATTATATTAATAAAATAAATAAAACATTATATATAAATAACTAAAATACTAATCTTTATCGGATTTAGTTAATTTAGCAAGAAAAGTAACTCAATGTCTAAAACTATTTTGAGTTTTTTTTTTTCAAAATAGTGTTTAATGAAATATTATTTATGAAGTTAATGTCGAGTTAAAAGTATGGACCAAATTATAGTTCAAAATCTGGAATAAATCTGGAAGTTACAAGGAAGCAACCAAATTTGATTCCTCTCACTTTTTGGGAACCAAAATAGCTTCCAATTTGCTTGCTTCTTTCCTGAGTTACTATTTTAAAAGAAGTTTCCAATTGAATTGGCAACTTTGGGCAATCAAAGTTTATTGCAACAAAATTTTGTTATTTATTTTTAACTCGATCTTAACTTCATAAATAATTTTTTATTTAACATTAGTTTTGAAATAACTCCTTATATTTATGATTACCACAAAATTATTTATTTTGATTCTCATACATTTCTGTGTATGAAATAATAAATGATGTATTTGCTTTAAACTTTGCTAATAAAACCTATGTTTAAAAAACCAACCACCGGCCTGGTTGATCTGGAACCCGGAGACCCGGACCAAAACCCAGTTCGGCTAGTTAAAAACCCAGAAGTGGTAAAAAACCGGGAAAATCCGGCCGACCCGGAAAACCCCGGTCTAGACCCGAACCCTGAAAACCCGTCAAACCCGAAAAAACCGTTTTTTGTTGATTTTTCCAAAAAAAGTAATTTTTTAAAATCATTTGTAACTTATAATATTTCAATTTCAATACCCTAAAAAAATTGCAATATATTTACATACTAATTTGTTTAAGAATAAAATGCATTTCAAATTATATACTCTCTCCGGTTCTTATTAAAGTTCCCACTTTCCTTTTTGGGATGTCCCTTATTTAAGTTCACACTTCCATTTCAGGAAACAAAACAATGCAAAACAGTGCCAAACAGTGTCCAAACAGTGCCAAACAATGCACTCCACAGTAAAGTCAAATTCATTTTCTTAATATGTGTGAAGTCAAACTGGGAACTTTAATAAGAACCGGAGGGAGTAATTTTTTAGTAGGTGTTGTTGTTTGTCGATAAAAAAAAATAGGTGTTGTTGTTTGTGTGTTTTATGTGACATTCGTTTTGTGTGTACGTTGTACTTGACTAACGAAAAATTTAAGACTTTGTATAATATTAGCAGTAAATTAGTTCAGTGTTACTTCGTAAGTTTTAAAAATAAGGATAGTTACTATTAGACCCTTGAGAGTTAGTCAAATTATTAATTCAACCTTACATCTTTTTAAATCAATTATCTAACCCTTGAGTTTTGGTTATTCACACTATTTACCCCTTCATCTACATTAAACACATTTAACTTTATATATATTTAAACCTAATGAAAGTTTTCTAAAATATATGATTATAAACAATAGGGTATATAATATTTATCATCTTTCACTTGCTTTACATATTTTTCCATATTATTCTTTCATTATCATTGTAACATTAATTTTTCACTATCACTATAATGTTTCCATCTCGCAAATGAATTAAATCGTTTCTATGCTTTTTTTTTGTTTGAATCACAAAATTAAATTATTTAAGATATATTACTCATGTACAAGGTACGGGTATTACTATCACAGAGCCCGTTTGATGACTCTGATTTTCAACTTATCAGGTTTATCAACCAACTTTTCACCAAATATGTAACTTTTGATTTCGCGCATTGGATTGTTTAATAATAAGAAAAAGTAAGATTAAAGTTATTTTTATGACTGTATTGGCTGAAGTCATTGTAGAGGATCATTTTAGCAATTTATCATATAATTTTTTCTTTACTTTATTGATGTATTTTTTTATACATAAATCAGCATAATCAACCGATCCAGTCACTTCAGCCAGAATTTCATAAATTTCAGCAGAATTAGTTGATTCAGACAATTTTAGTGTTATTAAACGAGCTCACATTTTACTTTTAATGATAATATCATGTACCCCTATCTAAAAAAAACATCATGATTTCTTTTTGTCTACTCCAATATATATATGTATATTTTCTTTTTTGAAAAAAAAAATGTGATTCAAAACTTTTTTGTTTCATCTACACAACTTTAAACAACAAATATTTTACCTTATAATCGCCTTGACAAATAAAAAAACAATTAGTTATGAGGCGCATAGAGTAACATTTTCATTTTTCCATTTTATAAAACTCTCGATCCTAGCAGTTTATTGAGATTATGGATCAATTTGAAGACTAGTGCATAGAAATCAGATTAGGGTCTTTTACACAAGTGGTTTTTTTCGGAAGGTGGCTTGCGCCGTTTCTTGTCTGACCAATTACTTGGAGCAACCGTGGGAGGGCATCCGGTATCACACTTTGCCTCTTCATGGTTTGCTTCTCTAAGGTTGATGCTTCTGGACGTGCCGCTATGAATCGAATCTGGGGATCTGTGATTGATACCTTCGATTGGAAAATTGTTGGTCAGTGTTGCTCTTTCAAGGATGATCGTTTCTAAATCTAGTCGTAGAGTTAATATTGCTAGTTGGTTACGGATAGTTGTTGTTAGTGTTTGTCTCTTTGAGTTTATTGTAACGATCTGAATGCTAATAACATTAATATAAGTGATTTTTCTTTCAAAAAAATTCTGGATCCGTGAAAAACTAGTGTTTATCAAACGGTCAAACGTGCTCTCATTCTTGTTTCTCTGCCTAGTGCAGCCTTATATATACTTCGGTAATTGCATGAATGAGAATGTGTTGTAACGGAATCACCACTTTGGGTGTCAGTTTCACAGGAGTTTTTTTTTTTTTGAAAGAAGTTTCACGGAGTTATAAGGCAAACTCTGCGAGTGCGGCCTCAATCATACCACACAACATTTGCTTTTCTATGTCAGCAACTACTTCATCTGAACTAAACCCTTCACTCCAACCCAAATCCCACCCTCCCTTGCAAAGCAGATCTTTTTCTATTAAGGAAAACAGATTATTGAAACAAAGGGCTTCGCCACTGAGATCTTCATAGCTTCTCAAATGTTCAATCCCAGTTAGCATTATGGGTTCACATGGAACACTTTCATCAGTGATATGATCATCTGAAATCAAAAGAGAGATATTGCATTAGATAAGCATGACTTTAAGTGTTATAAAAAGAACCTCAACTGTGTCCCCACTCCACTACTCCCCAAAACCTTTCAACTAAAGATGCTATTATCGCAACTCAAAACACTACTAAAGTACCCTATACGTCATACTGGAAGACATTTGAAGCTTACTAATCAACATCAACACTGTATCGAAGTTTATTTATTTATTTATTTTTGCATTTACCCCAGTGCCACAAAGGCTCCCACCTACGGTGGGGTAGGGGGGGTCGGATGTACGCAGTCTTACCCCTGTACTAAAGCACAGAGAGACTGTTTCCGGATGACCCATAGTGAAAATCACGTCTAAAATTGCATGGACTGACTGCTGCTTCATAACAAAGAAGCGCAGATAGTTTAGTGAGCCATTTTGTTTTACTCCATCATAATCTCAAGCCAAAAAATAATGAATCTTTGGCTCAATTAACAAATTATCCTTGAATTATTTGTTTCATAGAAACATACAAATTTTGTATAATATGATATTAGAGTCAAATTTGGTTGTTTGATTGACATTCCAGATTTAGGATGAGTGGGATGACCCGTTTCAAGTTTGTTTGACCCCGGCGAATTGAGACTGATCCATAAATTGAGGGCCATATTAGAAGTATTTGTCTCATGCCGATTCGATATAAAACAATAAGTTAAAATATAAGATCACTAGTTACTTCTAAAAGATTCTAGAGTAACCTTAAGATGGAATCCCAGATCCAAATATTCTCTTCTGAATGTAAGAACTTGTAGGCTGTGTTTTAGTTAAACTAAATAAAGGTTTTATGCTCAATCATTTAGCACTCCATTATGAAGACACATTAACTGAGAATGAGCAGTGCCACAGTGGTTGCTTTTAAGTTGTTCATATAGTGTTTAAGAAAATGACATATTAACGGCCTTACCGTTGAGGTGATTATCATAAGTACCAAAAGCTTCCGGGAGATAAACTTTTTCAGAAGGATCAGCTTTCTTGTCAGATTTGCAAGTATTTTTCTTGGATATAAGGCTATTTTGCACATCATTCTCCTCCTTATTCTCAAACTGGTTTGGTACAAGCTGGCGTGGACAAACAAAACAAGGTGAGGCCATAATAAAAATGATAATGTTGTGTCAATACACAACAACATCTGAACACCAGATTCCTCCAAGTTGCAAAAACAGCACTTGGAGAGTAAGTAGTAAGCGCGGATGAAAAAAAAGATTTGAGAAGTTCTGAAAGAAAGAAAAAACTTGATCTGAAACAAGATTTTGAATTCACAGTAGATAGAGAGGAATTTCGTACTGGTTTGTCTGTTTTCATATTCTTCCTGGTATGGTTTGAGGTGCTACTCTTTTGCCATGTAAACTGTTTTTCTGACGTATGTTGCTCACTATCTGCTTTTCTGAGTTTTGTTTGGCCGTTAGATTTATCTGCATACTTAACTTTCACATTTTTCATACCTTCTTTTTTTCTCAGATAAGTAGGGCCTACTTTCTGAATCTTGTCAAGTTTCTTCTCGTTAACTTCTTTATTATTCTGTTTCCTAGGCTTTGCGGGATCACAAGCCTTAGTCGTAGTAGGAGGCAGTTTTTCCTTGGCTCCCTTTTTATGAATAGGTTTCTTTATTGCACCATTTTCAGCCCTCGGGTTTTTATAGAATGCCTTATCTACGACTCGCTTCTGAGTATCACATGCGTCTGGTGAAAATCCTTCCCTTCTGCTTTTCCTAACCACCTTCTCCTCAGTGTTGTAAACGGGAGATGTATTTGTACGAATCCTTGCTGCCTGATGGTTTTGAGGGGCATAACAGGGCTTCATAATCACAATTTGTGGGGAGTCTGCAGTGTTGTTGTGCTCGCAAGTTCCATGCTTTGATCCATCGACAAACCTACTTTTCAACAGCCCTTTAAACTGCATTGTTTCGATGATCTCTTCCAGAGTTTTGCATCGTGGATCAACCTTATTGGTGACGATGTGATGTTTCTTTGCCTTTGGCAAATCAATTTCAAAAACAGGCCTCCTTTGATGGAAAAGCATGTCCTTGCCTGAACCATCATTGTATAAAGTTGGGGGAATTTGTTCAAGACCCATAAGTTTGGCAATCAAGTTTGGACCCTTTGGCTTATACTGTTTGACTTCTGGCAAAGAAGCGCCAATAGAGGGCAACTGTTGAAGATCATTAGCAGTGAGAGCCGTTCTTCTTCCATAAAAACTATTCTTTTTAAGGGCAGATTGGCTTGAGCTAGTGGAGGGTAGATCTGGCAACAACTCAAATTCTCCACTTTCAAAAGAAACCCTTTGGACAGTGGAGGTTGGCAACAAATTCTGTCTAGCAAAGCTCTCCCTAATCACCTCCCGGAGCTCATCGTAACAATCCCTCCCAACTTTTCGCACCTTCTCGTTTGGCATTTTCTTCAGCTTCAGCAGATATTTTGATGCTTCTTGCAACTTCCCGAGCATAAGGAGAGAATCTTGCAATTCAAGTGCTCCTTTCAGCAAGTCTTTTGCAATGTCTTTGGACTGCCTGTCAAAGCTTTCCCCTTCCGGCCATGAGTCAATTACCCGGTTCAAATCCTGAGCTCCTCTACAGCTCGAATTCAACTCTTCTTCTTCTTCTTGTTGTTGTTCTTCTTTTTCTTCATACCGCCTGATGGCCATTTCTTCCTTGTTATGTACCCCTTGTTTTACACTCTTATCTCCCCAGGGTTCATCCTTGGATCTTCTAATCATCTTACATTCAACAACACCTTTGGGATCATCGCATGTGAGCAACAATCTGTACACAATCGATTTCAAACTGTCTTGAAGCATACTCTCTATGAGCACAAAAAAGCACACAAACCATCAATGCTTATTCAGCTCAGTTTAAAGCATGCAAAACCAAAATCACTTTTACCTACACAGATTAGTATATTCTACCATGTCCTGTTTAATTTCAACAACAGCAATATTGTACAGAGAAATATTATGTTCAAACCCCAAGCTAAAGGATCCCTGTATAAGAAGTTTTTTTATTGTTGTATAAGATGGTTTATAAGCTAATGCAAATAACTATCTTTGTTCATCAGCTAAAAAGGGTAGTTTTGTTTTTATTTGAGTTGAGCAAGCTCCGTTTCCTTTATCAGGCTCTATCCAAAATGCAATTAAATGAAAAAGGCTAAGCATCCATGGTCCATAATAAAAAGTTGCCAAGAATAAGAACCATTGAGGCACAACATCATACCAGAAAACTAAAATTTCCTAAACAAGTGAATAAAAGAAATAATCAAGACCCATCTTAGCGTTAGCGCTGCACTTTCCGGTGTCACCTACTCACCTGCATTAGTCCTCAGATCCACAAAAAGAACATTTAAAAAAAGTGTTCTTGTAAGAATATAAGAACTCCATAGCATGTAATTCATGACTTCTTTTTTGTTCTCTTCCCGCTACAATATCTTAGTAAATAAATAAAGGACCCAACTTTTGTCTTTTTACAGAGGTTTCCTTAGGGCAATCAATACAAAAAGTCATGAAAGAAACAAGAGAACTGTAGAAGAAATGTGGGTGCAGTGGCTCATAAACAGGTCGATCTTTGTGTTGATGTGAGATTGCAAGGTAGAAGACGCAAAGGTTGGGATCACAGGAGATGAAACTAAAATACAGACTATAAAAGAGATGTACCGGTGAGAATAGCGGTGAAGGTAATTAGTTAACTATTGTATTGTATGAGGGAGCTAGCTAGCTCTCTTCTTCCTCCGGGAATATGGCCTGAGATTTTGTTTTGTCAAGTTTTAACATGTGACGAGTGCCTGTGGGGAAATTTATACTGCCTATATAATATAATGTGTGTGTTTTTAGTTTATTGAAAAGACTGGCCGGCCGGCCGGCCTATTTATTGCGTGTGTGTATCATGACAATGAGACATTGAATCCCAATGATGTTAATTTAGGTTTTACACATTAATTAATTTCTCAGAATAGTATCACAGTTGTTTACAGAGAGTACTTTTACTAAATTTTATTTTATTTTATGGTCAACTTAAACGGCCGTCTTCCAACATTCTTCAGTATTTAATAAGCTAAGCGCGCCTTATTAAATTCTCCCTTCATATCCTACTAGTTACTCCACCCGTGCGCTGCACGGGAGTGAGACGCCTACGTAATAATTTAGATATAGTTATATATTTAAAAATATTTAAAAAATATGATTGTGTTAGAATTATTTGAAAACATTAAATAAATTCTGAATAAATGGTAAGAACTAAATGTAAAACATCTCCAGTATAGTGCTTTTAGGTATAAGATGAAATTACATTTTAGGATTTTAGGATTATAGGATGATGATTTTTTTTGTGGAAAGTGTAATTGCATTTTAGGATTTTAGGCAGAGAATGCTTAGGCGGGAGAAATTTTTTCCCTCCAGTATAGTGCTTTTATGTATAGGATGTTTTTTTTTTGCAGAAAGTGAAATTACATATTAGGATTTTATGCGAGAATGCTTAGGCGGGAGAATTTTCTCTCCAGTGTAGTGTTTTTAGGTTATGTTTTTTTTGTGGAAAGTGAAATTACATTTTAGGATTTTAGGCGGAGAATGCATAGGCGGAAAAATCTTCTTTCTCCAGTGTAGTGCTTTTAGGTATAGGATGAAATTACATTTTAGGATTTTAGGATTATAGGATGATGATTTTTTTTTGTGGAAAGTGTAATTACATTTTAGGAATTTAGGCGGAGAATGTTTAGGCGAGTGAATTTTCTCACTCTAGTGTAGTGCTTTTTGGTATAATATATATATATATATATATATATATATATATATATATATATACACACACACACACATACATACATACATATATATATGTATATATATACATATATATATATATATATATATGTATATATATATATAGATATATATATGATTTCTTTGGAGAAAGTGATATTACATTTTAGGATTTTAGGCGGAGAATGCTTAGGCGAAAAATTTTTCTCTCTCCAGTGTAGTGCTTTTAGGTATAGGATATATATATAGGGAGTGGTTCCGGTGAGAAAGGACTCCCAGGAGAGAAATGAGAATGAATCTGGACCGTTGGATTGTATTATGTGAAATTGAATTGTGCATTTGGCAAAATTGAAATGTGCATTACGTGAAATTGAATTGTGCAGAATGAAAAATAAAACTCAAATGTGCATTACATGAAATTGAAATGTGCGTAATAAAAGGCACAAAAATGCCACTGCATCCTAATTTTTATTCTGCACGTTTCAGTTTCACGTAGTGCACATTTTAGTTTTTCGTAATGCACAATTCAGCTTCACATAATACCACTATGCCTTACATTTTGTGCTGCACATTTCGATTTCACCTAATGCACATTTCAGTTTCACTTAATGCACATTCAATTTCACAGAATACAATCTAACGGTCCAGATTCATTCTCATTTCTCTCCTAAGATCATTTTCTCACTTGAACCTAATTCTATACATACATACATATATATATATATATATGATTTTTTTGCGGAAAGTGATATTACATTTTAGGATTTTAGGCGGAGAATGCTTAGGCGGGAAAATTTCTCTCTCTCCAGTGTAGTGCTTTTAGGTATAGGATGTGAGGTACGTTCAGAAATGGCGATCAATGGTGAGAGAGCCTCATCAAGGAAGGGTGACGATTCTAGCCTCCACTCATTGGCTCGAGACCATCTCATGCCGTATGGCACTGTGCCGTACGCTAGAGGAATAGCATGGGGTGTTTATTAAAGAGTTATGCTTACAAAAACTTCTACAAAAAGTCTTACAAAAGGGGTATGTGTCATCATCACATTATTTAACACATCACATCACATTTACAATACTTTTACATCAATGATAATTTTAATAGCCACATCACTTGTTTGTAAGTTTTTTTGTAAGTGAGTTTGTACTTCTACCATTTTTCTTTATTAAATGTTAATTGTCCGTTACCTCATATTTCGTTTGAATCTAATTCACACAGAGTAGTTGTTTTGATAGAGTGAATCTCAAAGTTGTAGACCACATATTTCTTTCCAAAAAGAGAAATGTGCACATGTAAAAGTTGTTGTTTTGATAAAACACATCTTTGTGATAAAATGTAAAAGTTGAGGTTGAGATTTGTGTATAATAAAGTGAATGTTGTAGATCACATTTTTTTTACAAAAAGGGAAATGTGACACTTATTTTAAGACAACTCAAAAAGAAAAGTAAAACAGGTAAAATGGAACGGAGAGAGTATTCTCTAATCTAGTAACTTTTTTTAATTAATTCAAGTTCTCTGAATTTCCGTTTTTCAACTTTTTAAATTCACCTAGAATGATCCGAAAATGTTCTAACATTCACAATATTATTAGTAATCAAGGGAGTTACCTAGACTGCAACTTTGGAGGCCAACTTTTGAATCAACAAGACAACGTTTGATCATCATCATTGCCTCAGTGCTGCAAAGGCTCCCACCTACGGTGGAGTAGGGAGGTCGGATGTACGCAGTTTTACTCATGCACTAAACACAAAGAGACTGTTTTCGAATGACTCCGGGGGCGGATCCACTAAGGCCTAGGGGGACAGCTGCCCCCAACAAAGGCCCACTAAACCCTTTTAATTTTTTAAAAATATTAAAAGCCCAGTTGTTTGCCCCCAATTAAAAAAATGGCCTGCCCCCAATAACCCAAAATCTTCTAGCCCGCCCCAAGAAAATGGATTAGTCCGCAGATGCCAAGCCGCCACTCTCTTGCGCGCAGACTGCGGAGCCGCACTCGCAAAAGGCCAAACACTCTTGCTCCGACGCTCCGTGGCTCCGTTCAGCCGTTTTAGTCCGACCTCCTTGCTCCGACCTGAAGAACTCCTGTCCTCCTTGCTTCAAGCAATCCGGCCTTCCGCATAACAAGAACGGCAGAAGCCAGAAAGCCAATAACTAGGTAAGCCTTTTCACTTTAATTTGTCATATTTTATCAATTACGGTTGTTAGATTTGGAGTGTTGCATACTTTCCTATTGTGTAGTTAATATTTAGTAATTATATACATATTAGTATATTTAACTAATTATAGTGTTTTAAATTTATTTACATCATAGATTAAATATTTTAGAAGGTTCAATTAGATTTAATATAGCTGATGAGTTACTGAAATTGTTAATTAATTCAATTTTAGAATGTTTTATACTATTAGAAAGTAGAAACCCTAAATGTAAAATATATATTATTTTAGGTAGTTAAATGAAATGTATTAATGTATTAAAACAGTTAATTTTAATTTAACTTCTTTTCCAGACTCAATGAAGAGATATTGGGCTACCGTTCCTTCACCGGGTAGTTCAAATAATAATGCTTCGAATATTGCATCTCAATGTTCTTCATCAATACCTAAACAAGTTGATTTGGATGAGCTTCCCTCAGATCCCGCAAAAAGAATAAAATTTCTAAGTACCATCCTAATCAAATAGATGAAATCAGGAGAAAATATTTGATTAAAGGACCTTGTCAACCACGTGGTCATGACTTCCCACAAAAAGAGATTGGGAAGACTTTAAGACGCTTCAACTCTAAATGGTTTGATCAATATCCTAATTGGTTAGAATATAGTATACAAGATGACAAAGCCTTTTGTTTGCCTTGTTACTTGTTTAGAGATCACTTTGAGAATCGTGTTGGGAATGATGCATTTGTAACTGAAGGGTTCTCAAGTTGGAATAAAACGGAGCGATTAGCTTCTCATGTGGGTAATATAAATAGTTTCCACAATAAGGCACTTAAAAAATGTGATGATTTAATGAACCAAGACCAGTCAATTGTTGTTGCTTTGCATAGACAAAGTGAAATTGTGAAGAATGAATATCGTATTCGTTTGAATGCTTCTATTGATGTTTCAAGATTTTTATTGCATCAAGGATTGCCTTATCGTGGTCATGATGAATCTGAAGAGTCCAACAATAGAGGCAATTTTCTGGAATTAGTAAAATATACCGCTAGTCAAAATGATGCTGTGAGTAAGGTTGTATTGAAAAATGCTCCAGGAAATAATCAAGTTGTTGCTCCTAGCATTCAAAAAGACATTGCTAATTGTTTTGCACAGGAAGTTGTTCACTCTGTGCTTAAGGAGATAGGTGATGATGTGTTTAGTTTGTTGGTTGATGAGTCTAGTGATGTGTCTTACAAGGAGCAATTGGCTATGGTGTTGAGGTACGTTGATCAGTGTGACATAGTTAAAGAAAGATTTACTGGTGTTGTTCATGTGAAGGATACATCTTCTTTGTCTCTTAAATCTGCTATTGATTCTGTATTTTCTGAATATGGCCTGAGTTTGAAAAATGTTAGAGGCCAAGGGTACGACAGTGCAAGCAATATGCAAGGTGAGTTCAATGGGTTGAGAGCTTTAATCATGAAAGAAAGTAGCTCGGCGTACTATATCCATTGTTTTGCTCATCAACTACAATTAGTTGTTGTGGCGGTCTCGAAGAAACACTTTGATGTTGGTGATTTTTTTGAAATGATCCCTTTTATTAAATGTGGTTGGAGCGTCTTGCAAAAGAAGAGATATGATTCGAGAAAGTCATCAAGAAAAAGTGAAAGAAGCTATAAGTAATAGTGAAATTAGCACCGGAACAGGATTAAATCAGGAGCTTGCCCTTCAAAGACCGGGAAATACACGTTGGGGTTCCCATTATAGAACACTTCTCAATTTGATTGAACTGTTTTCATCAGTTGTTCAAGTCCTTGAGTACATTGAAGTGGAGGGCGTAGACAGTGTGAAAAGACGTCAGGCTAATGGTCTTCTAACATATTTTCAATCATTTAAATTTGTGTTTTATTTGCAGTTGATTTTGCTTATCTTGGGACTCACAAATTCTTTGTCAGTGGCTCTTCAAAAGAAAGATCAAGACATATTGAATGCTGTTTCACTTGTGAAAACAACAAAGCAA